GCATCTCCTCCTGCCTGGGCATCTCATTGTATAGGCTACTGCTGCTTGAGAGGATTGCTGTTTCATAGAAGGTTCTCTAGGAGCAATTACCAACTGCATGGAGTTTTAACAAGTGGTGGATTCTGAAATGGGGGTGGGGTAGCTCTGGTTATTTGAACAGACTGAGAGGAAAGAAGCTGGGGAGCAGCCCCACAGAAAGAGATCTGGGGGTCCTGTGTGGAGCCAGGAGTTGAGCTCAGAGGACCATGTGGGTCCTTTCCTACTCGGGATATTCTATGATTCTTTGGAGCTGCCAGCCTTCATGAGCTGGAGAACTCTGATTAATCCATTACCTGTGTGTGTGCTTTTTTGCACCAGAGATATGTTGTACTCTTCATCATGTCTTGCATATTCTCTGCTCTTTAGAAGATTGTAGTGACACTTAACTGCAATACCAGGCGTTGTTGCAGTACTCCAGGAGGAGTCTGCTCCAAACTTTCCTGCTCTTTATTTCACAGGAGGGACAACAAGCCTTGGAGAATGGTCAGGCTCAGAGTGGGGAGAGAACAGAGCCAATTTATTTTTTGACCTGGCCTTGAGCATCTCTAAGGATGGGGCATAAGGTCCCAAGGAATAAGGGTGGGGCACAAGGAAGAAGGGGCTGTATGGAGACCACTCTCCTGTGCCTGAAGGTATCACCATATTACCAGCCCTCCTGAAATGGCAAGCTGGGTTTTACATTGGTGGCTTCAGATCTACAAGATGGGTGGAAGTCAGACAGGAGATGAGCAGCACAGCAAATGTCTAGGGCTATCACCCTCTCTGCTCCCTGTGGTTTGGTCTTGGAAATGATGGCAGATGGAACTAGAAATGAGGGCAGGTAAAATGAATACTGGATCCCAAGAGAGTATGCTTTTCATTTTCTTTTCCAGGTTTGTTTAGTCAGGCTAAGCCAAGGATTTCTATTGGACAGCTGTACCCATGCCATGCACTTGCATGGGAACCTCCACTGTGAATCACAGAATCATAGATTCACATAATGACTTGAGTTGGAAGGGACCTCAAAGATCATGAAGCTCCAACCCCACCACCACAGACAGGGCCACCAACATCCACATTTAATACTAGACCAGGCTGCCCAGGACCCCATCCAACCTGGCCTTGAACACCTCCAGGGATGCACCCGTCATGGTAAGGGACACTGAAGCAGCTCTTCATTGTGAGCCAGGACAAGGTATAGGCAAGCAGCACTTTAATGCTACACCTCATGACCAAAAGATGAGAGAATTTGTTTAGCTCTGAATTCCCACCAAAGGCTTCCCAGGCTATCATGCAAAATGCAGAGAGAAATGGCACCGTGCTGCTTCGACGCCATTCCAGCACTGCACTAAAAAAGTGCAGATACATTTTTAAGTTACACACCAGACTGCCATGCTCTAGTAGCTCCAGAACTGGGAGAGAACTCTTTTCTCTTACAGTAGCTGATGATGTGGGGCAGTGCCAACACTAGAAGAAGAGTATTAAACTCGTCTATTATGAACCTTTGCCTGTATCTGTGAGAAGAAAATGCCATTAATTAGACTTTCAAATTATGCTCAGATATAGAAATCATCTGAATTGCCAGCATTAATAAGACACGCAAGGAAGAGCCTGGACAAACTGAGATTGAACTCACCAACAGAGGTGATTATACAAATTCAGGTCACTGTACCTAAATAGCCCTGCAATCTCTCTCCTGTGCAATTGTCCAGAATTGGCTGTCATCAAAAGCTGTCTGTTTGCATCTGCACTGATCGTTCCATGCTGTTTCCATCATGTGGGGACTAAACAGCCTTGATCTTGCCCACCAAGGTAATCGTAGATAGGATGGTATGAAGCAACTATTATTCTCTGACAAAGAGAGCTGTGGATATGTCTGATAAGATGATCTTCATGCTTTATTATCCTCCAGAGATAAGCAGACTGAGGAACTGGAGCTTCTTGTGCTGAGCAAGACCTGTGGTTCTACACCAGTGCCCGCACCTTGTGTGGCCAGTGTGCTGCAAAGCAGGCAGAGCTCTTCTTCTGCAGTCAGCTGGTACCTGCCTTTGTCCTGTGCCACTGCTGAGAAGCTCCCTTCTGTATGGGAGCCCTTCTCAGCATATATGCCAAATTTCAGCACTACCCAACTCAAAACTCTAACTTTACTGGAATAACCCAGGGAAAAGTGCTCTTTAACATCTTTATCAATGACATCAATGACAGAATCGAGTGCACCCTCAGCAAGTTTGCTGATGACACCAAGCTGAGTGGTGCAGTTGACACAGTGGAAGGAAGTGATGCCATTCAGAGGGACCTTGACAGACTTGAAAGGTGAGCGCGGGTGAACCTGATGAGGTTCAACACGGCAAAGTGCCAGGTTTGAGAGCAGCCCTACTGAGAAGGACCTGGGGGTCCTGAAGGATGAAAAACCTAACCTGAGCCAGCAATGTGCTCTTGCAGCTCGAAAAGCAAATGATATTCTGGGCTCCATTAGAAGAGGGGTGGCCAGCAGGGACAGGGAGGTGATTCTACACTGTGAGGCCCCATCTGGAGTACTGCATCCAGGTCTGGAGCCCCCAGTACAAGAAAGACAGAGAGCTGTTGG